TAGAGACAACATAGTGAATTTCAGCTATGAGGCATGCACTGCAGGAACATACTGCCAAAGCATTAGGTCAGATTTATGGTGTATTTATCCAAAAATACCGACAAAGCTGAAACGCAAGAGTTACTAAACCGAGGACCCTGCATTCACCATATCCAGTCTCCAACAGTACACAGAACATGGAAATGCAATTATTTTAGTAAATATAAACTGCTAAATACTTTTTTCCCCCATCAGCAGTTTAGAGCAGTCTTCTGACATCTTTCAGTGTCCAGCAGAGCACTGGTTAAAGCTTGTAGGAGTTCTCTAGGAACATGCAGAACCCCTGACCTCTAGGCAGTGCTGACTGGCCTTGTGCTGATCACATGCACTTTCCCAAGCAAAAAAAAAAAAAAAAAACAAAAACCTCTCTAGCAATACACACCAGATTCAGCATGTGCAGGTGTCTCCACACAATATGTCTTATCGGGAGATAAGAGGGGAGCACTGGAAGAAAGGGAGGATCAGAGAAGTCAAGATCAAACAGCATTTTTACATAATGCAGAGGATTAACCCCTTAGGTTCCACAGTGAGCATAACAAGCATTCTTTACTGCATATACAGACTGATTTTATTGTTGCAGGTTTAACAACACTTTAGCATAGCCACATATCATCGGTATAACCTAGTCTTTGGATACCAATTCATTACAAACCAAAGCAGTAGAGCACTCAAGGAGTGCCAGGTGATAGAAAACTAAGGTTGAGCATTTCAATTGGTATGTGCAGCAGAAATTGGTAACCTACATTAGGTACAGATTCCACCCCTACACATAAAACTTTCCCAAAAGGCTTTAGTTAGAATAGAAGCAGATATAGGACATTATACTACATATATAGAAATGGTGCATACACAGTGCTTCCTCCAATACACTGAAGTAGTCATAAATGCTTCTATCCAGCCCACACTCAGGTGGGAGACAGTCCAAGCCTTCCAGCTTCCAAGGTCTTAGGGAGCCTAGACCTAGTGTTAAATTGAAACTGCTGACACCCAAAGAAGAGGAGTTCCACATAAGAGCCTGGAAGTGTAACAAGCAATCAACACAGGTTTGTCAAAACAGCCCTTGTATAAAAGGTTTACCCTGAGAGCTTGTCAATAACATGCTGCAGGATCCACACTATGTCCTCATGCACACTGGGCGTTTTTACAGCGACTGTTTACTGGCTGTAAAAAAAAAAAAAAAAAAAAAGTCAAAAGCCGAAAACTATCCAGCATGTTATCCTATGTGTCCATGCACAAAGACTGATCAGCTTTTTTGGCAGGGACGTTTTTTGGCTGGAAAAAAACACAAAAAAAACCCAGGACTAGTGTATTTCTAGTTTTTTTAGCTGTAAAACTCTGCAAAGAAAAAGCTTTACACAGCTAAAGTTACCAGCATTATCAAACCTCCCAGTATGCATGGAGCCTACTAGTTCAAGATATTTCACATCTATATAAAATTTAAACAATGATATGTAGAGGATCTGACACTACCTTGGTCCGAATACACAGAAGACTACAATAGTAGGATAAAAAAGTCCTAACCTTCCCCAGTCACTGGCATCTAAATAGGGAGATTCTAACAGTCTGTCAGGAGAAAATAGGAACACCATTCCTTTTACTTGTTGGTAGTTCACCTGTAAGCATGGTCATTGGAGAACCCACTGCAGGATTAGACCACTGACTGAAATGCTCACTTTTTCAGGAGGGCATTCCCCACCATCAGGCAGGCTCTATTAGTAAAGTTATCAATTCTGTTGCATGGCAAAACCATACTAAGCAGGAACCTGGGGACAGAGTCCTAACCCCCCCTCCCTACATGAACCTGGGGACAGAGTAACCTAACCCCCCCTCCCTACATGAACCTGGGGACAGAGCCCTAACCCCCTCCCTAAGACTCAGAAACCCTGGCCCCTTCAAAACATGCATCTGTTTAAAGTGAAAACACTAATCTCACAATCCTGGAGTTGTAAAAAGACACCAGCAGACTTTTTCCATATCTTTTGGCATTGCCCTAAGATTAGGATATTTTCATCAAAGATAATTTCCTTTTTTCACTCCCTGACCACTATCAAGGTCCCTCAAACTGTGGAGGTATGCCTACTGGGTCTGGTTAGCATGCTAGCATTTACCAGGGTGACCAGAATGCTGCTTGGTTTGTTGCTCTTCAATGCCAGAAAAACTATAGTGCTAAAACAGAAGACCAACTAACCCCTAAACAATTGGAAAGTATTAGTAAACGTGGTCATTCCACTCTATCAACTTATTTCTCCAGGGGGTACTCAAGCAAGTTCCATAAAATATGGGACATCTGGCTGGAATCGTCCTTTACTGTAAAGGATACATAAGGGGGGGTACAGTACATAGTACTCGGTTCACTGTTAATGCTTTACCAACTCTTGAATTGCTTTCCAAATACAATGTGGAATGCATGTGTCGACTTGTTTTGGTTCTGTGATCCCTTCCAATGCATGGTCCTTTCTAAATCCTATAACTGTTCCGGTCAATGACTGTTTTTGGAATTGCATAGTCAAGGTTGTTTAGTGGGGGATGTTGTTGAACAAGTTACTGTTCTTGTACTTGGATGTAATAAGCTGAGCCGGGGTATGCCCCAAGGTTCCGTTTTATACTCTAACCTTTATAAATTTTCAACAACAAATTCATCAGAGAACTTTGCAAAATTTCCAGGTCAGGCCTATTTAATACAGGAAGGACTCTAGCACTCACAATATGAACACCATGAAGTACCAGACCTCCACCTGAAGGGGTACACACCTCTTCACTCCCAGATACAGAAGCCTGACTTTGAAGATTTGACTGTGTCCTCTCAAACCCAAAAAGGGAAACAGCATAGGGTAGAGCTCCAAAATGAAAATAAAATGGAAGTCACCCTGCCCTTGAGTGTAACAGGAAGGGTTAGTGTTGGCTAAGCAATGTGGGCCACCAGAACTCCCACAGAAGCCTTGCCTTACCACATGGTAATCCCTAGGCCACCTTCCTGGACACCACCATGCTTGTCCAGTGTGCGTTCTAATAGGCGGACGCACACACCCTCAAAGGGCTGGACCTATAGAGCCCTCCACCAGACTTACCCTTTAATTTGTCACAGTCTTACCATAGAGGGGACTGTGCCTGGCTTCAAAAAAATTGCCATCTCAGCTGGATTCTCCCACCTTTGAGGGATAGGTCTGGTCGCAAGAAAATGGCTGCCACACAACATCCTCTCCCCAGGACGTAGTAGGCAGCCTGCAGAGAACTCACTGCCTGTGCACCTCCAAGGACCAATGGAAGTGAGGTCTGTCCTATTCCATCTGAAAATTGGAGGGATGCTGGCATAGACGCGTACCTCCACCCGTACTGCCAGTGTTCACCAAGGAGCCCCCGTGACAGCCCACGGGAGCTCCTCAGACGGATCTCCTCACCCCTGCACACACATGCAGCTTCAAACGGAAAGCTAGGGGGCAAGGAGAACCGAAGGTCACACATCAGGGGAGGGAGGATGTAGCCTAAAGCGACCTGCAAACATCCTCCCCTACTCTCTCCTCCACTCTTGGGTACAGACCACCTCGCCTGTTGATGCCAAAGAGTCTAGAGAAGCATTCCCAGGCACCTCCTAGGAATGAAGGGGTAAAAACAACAAACAGGAGTTGCTGTGCATGTGCGTGTAGGAAACACACGAACAAAAAGGGCAGTAGTGGATGGGCAGCTTTTAACGTCTCTGTGCTTGTGTTTCCTGGAGGAGGAGCCTATTGCTCTCACGCGACCATCCTGGAGGATGGCTTTGGAAAAACATTGCACTCCAATTATGCCCCACAAGGATTTGTCCAACATGCATTAAACATTAGGCATACATGTCAAGTAAGATTTACAGAGCATTCCTCCCACATGGCATTATAGGAGAGAGAAAAAATAACGCACTTGCTTCCCTAACATTAGTAGGCCAAAGCAGTAGATAACAAAAGACCTACTAGCGTGACAGAGCATAACATGAAAGTTTAACTTTAAAGCTGAACTTCAGACAAACCATTTCATCCAGTTTTGTATTCATTACAAATATTATAAGATGTATTCTAAATGTAGCTAGAATTTTACTTTATATATGCACTGGGAGTTTGTTGGCAGGAGGAGAGAGGAAGCTGATAACCTTATCTTGAGAAAGGCGGTCAGTACCCCACTGAACCGTTGACATTGATTAAACTACTTTTGATAAAAAAGTAAAAAAAAAGACAGCAAGTGTCTTACAAATCCTGAGTAGAAGAAATACCAAAAAAGCCCCTTCCTTGCAAGATGGGGATGGCCGTACTAGGAGTCCCTTGCACCTCTTCAGACAGCCTGATAATAAAATAACAGGAGACGTGCCTTATCTGGCCGGAGGAAACACATAAAACTGAGGACCGGAGGGTAGGCTGAGGTTTTTTGAAAAAAAGTGGATCATGCGTTTCCTAGTGGGAGGAGCCAATCTCACATAAAGCCGTCCTGGAAGATGACCTGGGAAAATTCCTCCTACTGTAAGTCCCGCTGAGTGCACATGCCTACTTTATATACAATATATAGAATTTGGACCAATGAAAGATTTCCCAGCATGCTAGAAAGTTGACAATGTTGGAAATTTCCCTTTTCCTGAAAAAGGTAACTATGTCCAGTAAAAAACACTGCACAAAATCACATGGAGTGGCAACTGAATAGTGGAGTTTTCTGATGACCAAGGACTTTAGGACTGTTAAAAGGCCTAAAGGCACAAATACTCACCTTTGCTCCAACGGTCTGAAACCAAGGCCCCTCTTGGGCATCTTCTGCAAAGGATTGCGAATAGGCAGGCAAGTATTTTTTTGCAAGAGACACATTGTAGGTCTCTTCTGCAATAAAGTCTGCCTATTGACAATTTTTTTTTTTTTTTACATCTAATTGCCCTTTAAGATATGAGCCATTTGTTCCCTTACACCCACCCCCTGCCAGTTATATAAAGTAATATGCCATGCTAGTACCTTGACAAACCACACAGGTACAAAGGCCACATAGTAGGCGGACAACATGGAACTAAGAAGCACCTCCCGCACACGCCAGTTGAAGTCCAGCTTCAGATAATGCACCTCACTGCGAATAAGGTCAGGAGAGAGACAGCATGCATGTGTGGGAAGAGGATCTGTGCTGGGCCTCCACATGTGCTGCAGCACAGTCAGGTAATCCCGACCTGCCTTGTCCACAGAACTTAGATCTCCAACACGGGCTCCAGGAACATTTGCAAAAAGACTTGAACGCCGGAAGTCATATCCCAGATGCAGAAAAGGGATGTACATGCCAAACCTGTAACAAAGTGCTAAATTAGAAAGGCATTAACTAAATGGAAACTGCATAACAGTTGGAAAGAAAAGTAGCTTATGTACATTACATATTTATTCTTTTGCATTTAAAGTAGTTATAAACCCTTAACGTATAACCGCTGAAGTGACTAGCCTCAGGTGATACAGAAATGAAACAAATCCCCCCCTACATATGTTGCACTTCTTTATCTGTGAACAGCTCTCCTCTACAGCCTCCGAAAGCACACATTTTACATGGAATTCCTGAGCTCCAGCAAGGAGCAGGGATATGACGTCACACACGCAAAACAGAGCAAGCAGCTGAGTGTAACCTGAGTGGAGTGAATCAGAACACACCCCTCTACACAGTCTCATAGGGAAACATGCACAGCTGAGACTATCACCTTCTGCATGCTGCCCCCTGGAGTTCTGTGGTGTTGGCATAATCTGTCAGCAGTGACTCATGCAGAGAGCAGGAGGGAAGAGAGCAGACATGAACCATACTAGGTGTTTTGGACTGAGGCAAGTATACACTAAAAAGGATACTCTTTGTTCATTTTTCATTTCAGGTGGTTTGCAACTGCTTTAAATTCCACCAGGAAAACCCTGCATGGATTTTTTAAAGCTCTCTCCATATTTTTATAACTTCTCCAAATTCTCTGGTTCCCTCCCACAACTTCAGAATATATTGGTGCGTTTAATGACACCTTGCTATCTTGCCCTAAAGAATGACTGTGGAAGTGACATTAAACATATGAATGAGTTTATATACTTTCTAAAGTGCAGTTTAGTACATTGGCACAATATAAAATATGGCAAATAAATTTCTCATTAAAAATACAGATTTCTGCAACATTGAAAAGCTAGGGTTGGAGTATTTAAATTTGTCAAACACTAGTTATCCTCTGATTAAAGCTCCCTTAAACTGATGTCCATTGCTAGTCCAGGAACACAAAGGGTGTTATTTACTTAAACTGGAAGGTGCAAAATCTGGGGCAGTTCTGCATAGAAACCAATCAGCTTCCAGGTTTTTATTGCCAAAACCTAATTGAGCAAGCTGAAGTTAGAAGCCGATTGGTTTCTTCAAAAATTGCACCAGATTTTGCACTCTCCATTCTTCGTAAATCTGCTCCAAAGATGAACACATTTACCATAAAAGTAACAATTCTTTGAGTCCTGTCACCAAATTATTCTAGCAGATTAAATCCCAACAGAAGCTGTAACAGAATACATTTTCTGCACTCTTTAAAAACTCAGGCTTTGTAAATTCACTATAGTGACCGCAGTACTTTATGCTATTCACATGAAAAGCTGTAAATGCAATACATACACCATTAATACACCCTTACTTACGGGTAACATAAGAAGAGTAGGTTGAGGAATGAATGAGTCCTGAACAAAAGTATTATGGAGCGGCACAGGCTCCATCCCGTTCCAGTCAAAACTGCAAACCGTGTAGCTACCAAAAGCAATGAGTGCGGCAGGGAGGACTTCCCTCCTTGTGAAGCCTACAGAATCAAAGATAAGAAATTGTTAAAAAAAAAAAAAAACCAAAAAAAAAAAAAAAACCATGCACACAACTTTTCCACTGAGGTTTCTTCTGCAGACTCACCTCACGTACAATAGCTGCAATCAATCTTCGCGCGAGCACAATCGTGGTGAGTGTCAACACATTAAAATCTATCAAGTGGAAGTTCTGTAGTAAATGAAATAAATCAGATGAATCAGTTTTTATATGAACCATGTTCAAATTAACAAGTCATGTCTCCATTTATAGTCATAGAATATCTGACATGTTCTATCTTTTAAAATAATATTGCATAAACTAAAGGAAACCTAGAGGCTGCCATTGATAACTTCTTTTGAAAATGCAATTTGGCAGCTATCCAGCTGACCCTTCTGGCTTGAAAACTTTGAGTGTTTGACCCAGAATATGGACTTGTAATTTTTTTTTTTTTTTATCTGCCTACTTGTTTCAGTTCAGTGAAAAATGGTAGCTTTTGTCGTTTTCTCATGACAGATTTACTTTAGAAAAAACATGTCATACTTGGTATGACAATGGTTTTGCACAGAGCAGCCCCAAACCTTCTCTTTTGGGGTCCCCTATTAGTGCTCTCCATTCCTCCTATCAGAGTGCCCATAAACACATAGTGTAGTTCGGCCCTGCCCCCCCATCCTTCCTCACTGGATTTCACTGACAGCCATTGGCTCCCGCTACTGTCAGAGCCTCCAGTGAATACAGGAAGAGGAGAGAAGAGCTGCAGCAGACAGGCACAATGCTGGATTGAAAACAGACTTGTCCACTTACCCATTTTTTCAGACCATCTGGTTTCAAACAAACAATGCACACACCCATCTTAAGGATGTGCTTGTGGTTATTGGACTTTTCGTATTCAATACTCATGTACCCAGTGTATACTAAAAAAAAAAAAAATCTTACCTTCTCTTGTTTAGTAATGCAGGATCTTTCATATGTACAGGGTATTATACAGATTATGAAATCAAGTTAAGCCACCTTCAGTCAAGTTTTTTGTTTTTTTTTTTTTTGACAAAGGGAAAGGTTTTGAACCTTTGTCAGATTATTATATCTATGCACCCATCAGGGATTTCCTTTCACTTTCCTGTCTCGATGAGAGGGCGTTCCAGGGACAGTTTAGAAAATTACATTCCTCCAATGGAGGCATAGACCGCAACAAAACATTGTAATTAATAAAGCAGGTGTAACGTGTAGAACCTTAGTGAGGTTTTTATGTCTTATAGGGTCTTCCCATTACTCCCCAAAAGGGATCATAAATGTCTTAAGGAAAAAAAAAAAAAAAAAAAAAAAAAAAAAAAAAGATTCTAACCCTTCTCTGCTCCATTCAAAATTGAAAAAAAATTTTGTTTAGGCTGGAACGGGGCTTAATTCTCTAAAATATTTGTAATACAGCCCTTTCTCAACCTCTTTACCTTTGAGGAATAAGTACTTAAGAGTTCTCAAGGAGCCCCAGTAACATGAAAATAATATTTAACAATGTTGAACTGTGTAAAGCTAGACGGTGCAATCATCAGGCAAAACGCTAAAGAAAATATTTTGGAATATGGTTTCCTGTGTGAAGTGGTGGCATCTGGTGTCTGCAATCATTATCGAATAAGATTGGCCCGTTATTTCAAAGCGCAAGCAGGGCACAGAGTAAGGAAAAATAAGGCTACTTACCTTAGGGATGAGTGAGCTTTTCTTGTCCCACATTGGCTCAGTGCATACATTTCCTGTAGTCCCATTCTGCTGGCTCAATGTGGTGACATCAGGAGCTCAACCAGTACCATCAGGTTGATATTAATTCACCCAGCAGTACATGAATGAAATCTTAGGAAGAACAGTAAAGCCACTGTTGGGCAGATTTAAATCCGCTGCAGGGGTGGCCAGTGGCAGAAGCCCTTGGAACCACTTTCCCTGCTTTAATATATAGTTGTCATTACCTCATTTTAAAATAATTATTCTATGGCAAAATAGCCACCATTTATAGGACTCACCAAAGATGTATGTGAAGGGGGGTGAGATGGAGGATACCACCAAACAGTCTTGTAGATATTAATGTAGTGTACAAATAAGGCAATGAGGTGACACATAAAAAGCTGCAGCTCAAACAGAAGGTGGCGATCTGCAGGTAGCTCAGGGATTTTGCAGTGCCGTAGAGGTACCACTGTCTGAGCAGCCAGAGGGGGGCTGGACAAGCCGGTGCTGGAGCTGCTTCTGAAAAAGGAAAACAGTCTGATTAATAGAAATGAGGACTCTCAATATAGTCAAACTTTCTTTTACATTTCTGTGTTTGTTCTGCAGTAAACCCAGTGCAGCAGTGTCACCATGAGATTTGTGTAGTTTGAGCCTAGGTTCACACTGTGAATCACACCACATTTCTGTGCAAATCACATGATTCTGTGCAGTGCAATTGGAGCCCATTCATTTTGGTGCAGGCAACTTCCAACCCCCCCCACACTGGAACTGGAATGGATTGCATGGGTGTTTATTCCGCTTCAGTCAAAAGCATTGTGTTTGCAACCTGCTTTTGGGGTGTCATTAACTTTCCATGGACACACCCGCAGCAGATTACTAAACACAGTGCAATTGCTATGCAGTGTGAGAAACTCACAGGAATTGCTGCGTTTTCCACACCCCATCAGTGTGAACCAGGGCTTAGATGGACATATAGTTGTAAAAGGACTTTAAAATGACTGTCATTTAAATAAAGTTGCTAATAAAAGATATATCTGCAGAGACAGACCATGGCAAATACTTACCTCTTCTGCTACCTTTGCCATGTGCTACTATGATGAACAAAAATTACTGACCAAAGTCTTCAGGCGTGTCAGTCTCTTTCTCGCCCTTTGCGTTCATTTTCCTCCCGCCAAACCCCATATCCCTACAGGATACAGTGGTGACATGTGTGGGTCAAAAGGATGACCAAGAATCCAACATTACCACAAGTGGCAGTTTTTGATGAGGCTTCAGTCATTGATTTTTCTGCTTATAGCAGTGTTCAGTGGCACAGGCAGTTGGAATAGCAAGTATTTACAATCTTATTTGCAAGTACATCTTTACAGAGTCACATCTAGTAACTGGCAAACAGATTAAAGCCCAACTCCAAAAATGTTCTCTTGGGGAAAAAAAAAAAAAAGTTTAATCCACATGAATAAAATGGTTACCATAGTAACCATAGTGAGTATAATAGCTTAGCCCAAACCCAAAACCTTTCACTTTGCTGGAAAGTTTGGCATATAAATAAAGGCCTGTGAAACACACATACTGAAAATACCATTATAGGTATTTACCCCATACAGAATTTTTCTCACTATAGTGGGTCTTTAAAAACAGATAACGGAAAAAAAAAAAAAATGTAGAGTACAAATCTGGGGGGAAAAAAAAAAAAAAAAAAAAAAAAAAAGTTTTCCACATTGTCACCATGGTAAAAAAACAAACAAAAAAACCCCACACATTTTGTTGATATGGATATCAGGCCTTATGCACAGGGGTGCATGAGGCTGTATAAAGCAAACTGCAAGCGTATTTCCCCATCTGGGACACATAGGTGTCGCATACAGCCGAATGGTTATTAGCCATTGTACGCAGGTTCACGCCACTACATGCATTAAACCGTTCTTCCCTCAGCACAAGTAGCAGAGTAAACCCACTTACAGACCCATTCATTACCACAGTTGGCTGTACGCGGCAGCTGTGTATCTGGAATGTGGAACTATACCTGCGGTTTAGGTTTACAGCCTTATGCATCTAACATTTTCCTGGCAATCTCTCAAATCTGCTCAATGCTCTCAAGAAAAGATATTCAGCTGCTATGAAAGGAGAACTAAACACTCCTATTCCCTACAGCCACAGAAGCTGCCATCTTGGCCTCGGTTTGATCTGCAATTGTCATGTTGTTGCACATGTGATCAGATATGACACCAGCCATGTGATGGCTTGGCAGTTGGTCAAATGCACAAGCAACAGTTATTCACAGCATGACTTGAATGCAACGGTTTTGGGAAACAATTCAACTGATGAGTACAGTTCCAATATAAGCTACATGTAAACAGTCAAAACCACCAATGATCAGATGGTAACTAGCAGTGTATGGTTACTGAAGAGAATTTCAGGGGCCAGCAGATCTAAACAATGTCAGGATACAAATCTATGCAGTTATGCATGTACAGTGTTGAGATGCATATAATTATCAAAAAGAATTTAGTCAAGGGTAAGCATGCCATTGTGAATGGTTTCCTAACCCACGTCCTTACTGAATCACAGTAAGCTTGCAACCAACTGTAACAGTCACTTCTAATTAGTTTTTTCTTCAGAAATAATTCAAGCAGAACTGAACCCACCTATATTTTATAGCTAAGGAAGCTGCCATTGTATCCTCTGATCTGCAGTTGCAATGGTGTTGCAAATGTGATTAGTTATGGCACCAGTTATTCGATGGCTTGGCAGTTCAGTTAAAAGTCAACATAAGCACACTAATAACTGACAATTATCATTCATGGCATGGTTTGAATGTACTGTTTTTGGGAAACCGTTAAAGTACAACTAAACCCTCCTATCATTTTCAGCCAAAGAAACTAACATCTTAGCCTCAGTTTGATCTTCAAATGCCATGATGTTGCACACGTGATCAGTTATGACAGCTATTTGATGGTTTGCCAGTTTGGTTGAGAGCACAAGCAAATGTGAGTTCGCATTCTCAGCATGTGCCTGGAATGTAACGGTTTTGGGAAACCATTCAACTGATGAGTTCAGTTCCACTTTAAGCTGCATGTAAACAGTCAAAACTACCAATGCTCAGATGGTAACTAGCTGTGTGTGGGTAACTAATCGATTGGTTTAGTTCCACTAAAGCAGAATTAAACCCACCAGCTGTTTCCCAAAGCAGTTACATTCAGGGCTCGTTCACACCATGGTGCAAAAATGTTGTTTTTTCTGCATGAGTTCTGCAAGGGCACAACATAATCAATTGTTTTCTATGTGCCCTGTTCACACCACAAGCATCACATGCAGATTTTTTTTCTATGCAGGAGTCTGCAACGTGTATAAAACTCATTGAAGCCTGCATGAAAATGGATGTCTCTTCAAGTGGAATCTGCGTGCCAGTTTCCATCAGTTTTTCTGCACATATGGTGTGAATGAGGCCTTAAGCGGAACTTCCACTTTTGGGTGGAACTTTGCTTTATCTACCTCCTCCCCCCCCTCCCTTGCCACATTTGGCACTTTTATTTTGGGGGGGTGATGTACTTTGTTTTGACTAATTGAGCTGGAAGTTTGGCCCCCCTTCTTTCCCCCACAGCTATACGGGACACTTAAAAAGGTCCCATTAGGCTGGGGCCCATTCCGCATCCCCTTAATCAAGATGGCGGCATTAGCACCCAACTGAAGAATCGGCTCAAGGTGAGGACACCACTGGATCCCTGGACAGGTAAGTGTCCTAATATTAAAAGTCAGAAGCTACAGTATTTGTAGCTTGTAGAGCTCACTCTAAGGCATGCCTATAATAACTGTCAAGTGCTTGTTTTCTCAATGGACTGTCAAGCCATCATGACAAGTGTCAAAACATAATCACATGTGCAGCACCGAGGCGCAAATGCAGATCAAACAGAGGCTATGATGGCAGCTTCCTTGGCTGTAAAGGACAGGTGTTTTTAGTTCTGTTATTTGAAATGTTACTAAACCCAGGACCCTGCATTCACTCTATCTGGTCTCCCATAGTGCACAGAACATGGAAATGCAATTATTTTAGTAAATATAAAAATGCTAAATACCTTTTCGCAGTATATAGCGTGACTTCTATCAGTGTCCAGCAGAGCAATGGTTAAAGCCTGTAGGAAGAGTTTTCCTTCTGCTCTAGAAGAATGCAGGACCCCTGACCTCTGCCTGGACAGTGCTGATTTGCCCTGTGCTGATCATATGCACTCTACCAAGGAAAAAAAAAAAACACAACCTCTCTAGCAATACACAAACAGTATGTGCAGAGTGACTCCACATGATAGGTCTTATCAGGAAATGAGTTGGGCACTGGAAGAAGGGGAGGATCAGAGAAGTCAGGATCAAACAGCATTTTTACACAATGCAGAGGATTAACCCCTTAGGCTCCACAGTGAGTATAAAAAGCATGCTTTACTGCATATATACAGCGCTGAGCAAACTGTTGGCGCTAAATACTGTATAATATTATTATACAGACTGACTTTACAGTTGTGGGCTTAGTAACACTTTAAATCGATGGGTTTAGTTCCGCTTTATAATCAAAACCTTGTCCCTTGGCTACAACAGAAGAGAACTTTGCTTAGTTTTTACCTGGCTCTGGATCTCACTCCACTAACAGCAGGTGTTCCACCATGGACAGCACCACTTCCAGATCCTGGGTCACAGAGGGGTGTACGACAGTAAGATGTCCGGTTTGGGCCCCGACGGCCTCCAGCCATATCCGGGCTTAAATGACTTTAGTTGGTGCCTGGCATGTATGGTTGATTCACCTGGGTGTGAACAGGAGACATTACATAAACACAGTAGCCCCAAGATACATTGGGTGTGTGCCGCCTATATATAGATCTCCAGTGTTTTAAATGTATGCTTCCTGTAGAGATCGGAGTGATTATTGATTACAGCCATTTGAAGTGACTCGTAAACTGTCAATAACTGAGTTTAGGCATCTTTACGAATGTACAGAAGTTGAATGTGAAGCCATGTTCCTGAAAAGCCTACAGTCTTAGTACTTGGTGACCCAGCACTGTCCATAAATGAAAGCAATGCAAGTAATCCAGCAGCAGCCTAGATGTGAGGGCTGCAAGCCCTGCACAAGCACTGAGGCCAGGACCCCACCAATCACAGCTGAGTGCTGACAGTGATAGTACAGATAAGCTGTGCCCGTGAGAGAACACATGTAAGCACTTCAGAAAGCCTTACCACACCCGTCAGTAACCTACCAGAGGGCAGCTTGTATTACATGAGCGGGAAGTGCTCCTGTTACCGACAGGTAAGCAGTCAGCCCTGGCCACCACCCCCAAAAAACACTCACCGCTTCTGCCCGGCGAGAGCGCGCCTTGTGTCATACAGCATCAAGCGCGCGCACAGCGGATCCCGCTTGTGAAGGAAGAGTTCCAGCTAGCGTGATGATGTCAGACGCTCACGAAAACAACGTGCTGCGTGTGCATTACCGTGCTCTGCCCGTAGGTGGCACTGTTCCGCGCAATAACAGCCTAGTCACGTGTGTTTGCCTGTCAGCAGCAGAGCCAATTCGTAATGCGTTACACCAGGAGGATTTTTAGGTTTAGCCATGTGGCTTCTATTTCTAATTAGGAGTCGCTAAGAGCCTTCACTTTGACAATAACGATCTTTATCCTCTGGTGCTAGATTTGTAAATGGAGCCATTGTCTTGATGTGACAGTTGTGCATAATGTTCTGTGTGTGGTCATAAAAAATACATTTTACAATATTGCAGGTTAGACCAGCTACAGGGTTTAAAAATAAAATATCAATATTAGTAGAATGTATGGCCATGTTCAAATAGGCAGCAGTTAAAACAGGCAGTTGAGCCAAGTTTTTTTGATACCCACCTGAAAAGATAGCATCCACTGCTTAGGGTTGTGGGGATATCATGCCTGCTTTCAGAAATGCTTTTTGGTCCCAGCAAAAGTATCCTTAAAGCAAAAAATGTGGCCGCATGGCATGGGTTAACTGCTCATAGTGAAAAGTATACCTTATGGGGCCACTCCAAGCTGTGGATGGAAGGGAAAAGAGGAGAGCATGAGTCCAAGCAATTCCAGTGTCAGCCAATACAAGTGCCAGGATGGCCACTGCTCAACTGCCCCCAGGAGTCCAATGTTAAGGAATGGCCTCAGCTGCTGCTCTAGCCATGCCCTCTTATGCGTTTTGTTCCGCCCACTGGAGGGCTTGGTCACAGACACCTTTGTGACCAAGCCCCCCCCGTGGGCAGGGCAAAAGGTATAAGAGGGCATGGCCAGCCTCAGTGGCTGAGGCCATTCCTTAACATCGGATTCCTGGGGTTGGTTGAGCAGTGGCCATCCCAGCACTTGTATGGGTTAACTCTCATTTTGTCCAGGGAACAAAACACAAAGGCTCTACTTTCCTAATCGGTTGATCCTCCTGAAAACAGCGCTCCCCTGTGTCCAGTGGTGGACTAATCATGCTGTCCTCATGTCCAGAGCCTGTCTATGGGTGTGATGTAACTGCCTTCTCATTGGCCTACCTCTTTGAAGGCTATCCCCTCTTCAGTCTATCATGAATGCTGTAAACCTAGCCTTAAGCTGAAGTTTAATTCATCAGGGACATAACATACAGTTAATATAGTGAGTCTCATGTTCAGCTGGTTGCACAGTAAAAATCTTCCCACCATCGCCAAATCCTCCCCACAGCACAGATCTTTTTTGTGCTGCAGGAGTTAAGAGCTGCAAGAGTGAAAGAGTTACGCCGCTTGCCTCCTTCATTCAGAGAACATTGCTGGACAAGCATGTTGCAATGTAGAAAGTAGCAAGTAATGCTTTGTGTAAACGCTCTTTTCTGGTCTGTCACTAAAACCAGGCAATCTTGCTGGGCAAGTCAGACCGGCAGTCTTACCCCGGGCCCACCCACCACAGCAAGCAGCGATATAATTGCATCATCACTTACAGAAAAATAAACTACAGAAGGGAAATTACAAGACCAGTAGCTGAGGAAATAGCGGGCATACCAATCACTGGTCTTAGAAAAGAGAAGTTACTGTAAGTGGACAGAGCCCTATTTCAGAATCATTACAGCATTCATTTCTGAGAGGGGGGACAACTGTGTTAAAAGAGGAAAAGCACCTTTCCAAATATGACTGGATAGTTCTGCCCGGAGTTCAGCTTTACCCTACGTACATTCGATTGGGTGAGGAAACCCTACGTCTACACAAAGAGAACATACATATTCCATGCAATCCAGTGTCTCCAGGTGAAAAAATTAACTTGTTATAAGAGAAATATAGGAGCAGCTTAATGCTCATCAACACCTAAGATGCTGGCTGTTCAACTGACAACCTGGCCCTCAATCATTTGTCAGTCACTCACCAAATACAAGTTCCAAGTCTATTATCAAAAAAGAGATACAGTTTCAGATACAAAGGCCAGAAACCACAGCTTCTGCGTTTCCTTCAAAATGTATGCAACTGTCAGCAACCATCGCGGCGCGTGGCTCGGCGCAGTGTGCCGATTCGCGCTAGATCCTGGGCGGACGCGACGATGGCGGCACTCGCGCATGCGCGCTCGGGATCACGGGCGCGCGCCTGGCACCAATGACAGTGCAGGGCGCGCTATTTAAATCCGCTCTGCACTGACACTGGTTGCTGTATGGTCTAATCTCCCTGTTTCCTGCTTCTGTGTACCTGTTATTGATTGCTGCCGACCCTGCTTGATCCTGACCTTGCCGACTTCTCCTGCTCTGATCCCTGGCCTGTTTTGACTTCTCTTTCGGATACCCTCATTGGATCTGACCTCCTGTTACTGACCCGGCGAGTGACCAGACTACTCTGTGCCTGCTGCATTGTACCGCGCTGTCCCCCCACCATTACCGACCCGGCCTGTCTGTCCACGCTTCTACTCTGCCATCTATCCATCCGTCCTGCACGGACCTATCCACCTCTTTACGTCAGGCTCTTCTCCCGTATATACCTCTGGCGGATCCCTCTACCACGGGTGGGTGTACTCAGGGGCCGCGACCTGGTCTCTGTCTGCTCCAAGTCCATCCCCACCATCAGAGGCCCTGGTGAACAAGCGGACTGGGACTTAGACTCCGCGCTCTGGGGAACCGCCAGGCGGTGCATTACAGAAACCCTTAACCACAAATTTATCTTATATGCTTTAAAAAATGTTAAAAATCTGCCTTGTTGCCCCCCCTTTTTTTCCCTCCCTCCTTCTTCCCTGATTCTTTGTACCTCCCTTATTCCTTTCCCATGAAACCTTTTCTACTCTTCTCTTCTGTCTTGCCCCCTGAATTTTCCTTTTTCTTTGCATTGGGCATTGTCTTGGTGTTATAGACTTGTGCGGTCTCCTAGTCCTACCCCCGTATTGGAAATCTCGGTGAGGTCAGTAGAGTATACGATTATAAGCTGCCATGACTTGTTGGACTGTACAGTTTTTTTCTGAACCTGCTTGCCTACTGTGAGGGACCGCCGAGCGGCACCACTAGCACTCCACTGGTCAGGCGTGCCCAGAGCGCGGAGTCTAAGCCCCAGGGTAATTGTTCACCAGGGCCCCTGATGGTGGGGATGGACTTGTAGTACCCCGGGACCAGGTCGCCACTACTGAGCACACCTGTCAGTGGTAGGGGTGTTCGCGAGGGGCTCCAACCAGGGAGAGCCAGATGTGAGGAGGTCGGATGACCCCGATGGGATGGATGGATGGATGGCTGAGCAAGTGCGAAATCAGACAGGCCGAGTTGGTAACGTAGAGGACGGTAAGGTACAAGGGAGCAGGCAGAGAATCGTCGGGTCACACGCCAGGTCAGCAACAGTAGGTCAGATCTAATGAGGGGCATCCAGGGAGAGAGGTCAGGCAAAGCAAGGGTCTGGGCAGGAGAAATCAGCAGGTCAAGAACAATCCGGGTCAAATAACTTACAAGGCACAGGTTCAGATTCGCAGGATACAGGTAAGACCAGAAGGCAACGAAATGACAGCTCAGGGACCTTTAAATATCCCGCCCTGCGCTGCCATTGGTGCCCAGCGGGTGGCCGCGGCTTCTACTGCGCATGCGCGAACTCGAAACGCCGTGGCCGGCCCGGACCTAGTGCCTGTCCCGTGTCCCTGCACAGGGCGGAGCAGTGCGCCTGCGCCGGGACCATCGCGGCAGGGATCGAGGGGATCCCTGACATTGCCCCCCCCCTACGGGCAACCTCCGGATGCCCACCCGATCTCTCCACCACGGGTGATCACAAAGAAACCTCCGGACAAGTCTAGGTGCATGGACATTATGGGCTGGTTCCCACGAATTGTCCTCAGGGCCGTAGCCCTTCCACTTGATGAGAAATTGGGTCTGGCCCCCCCTTCGTCGGCACTTCAGGATTGTCTCCACCTCGAATTCTTCTTCCTCTTCGACTGTTACGGCCTCCAGGGGCCTGGATTCCCGTTCCGGGAAGGCATCAGGGACTACCGGCTTCAACAGGGACACGTGGAAGACAGGGTGGATCTTGAGTGTCTCAGGGAGAGCAAGTTCATAGGCCACTTCATTGACCATCCGTTTGATGCAAAAAGGGCCTATAAATTTAGGTCCCAACTTTTTTGACGGGCAGAGCATCTTCAAGTTCGATGTAGCCAGCCAAACCTTCTCTCCGGGCTGCAATACCAGATCCCCTCTTCGCTTCCTATTAAAAGCCCTCTTGTAGTCTTCTTGGGCTTGACGGATGGCTTTCTGTAGTTTCTTATTGTTTGAAGTGAAAAAGGTTAGTGCATCC